ATATATATACATATATATATATATTTACTTGCTACTTAAAATAAAACATTCAAAAGAAATTCTAAAATGTGCACTTATGGGCAAGCTTCATTTTCCCTTTTAATATGGATTCTGGTAGTTTGCCTCTGTGAGTCAATGCTGTTTACATCTGTATGGTGACACAGATGTGACTATAAAGGAGTTTCCATGGTCATAATACACTTAAGTAGTATTATTGGAACAAAAAAGGTTGACCTTTCATCTTGCTATTCTTAAGATTAGGACTCATTTTCCAAATGTTTCAGATGAAATATGAGTAACTCTCTTAAGTTAAAGAACTGAGCATTCAAAGTGGAAAAGGTAGTCAATACTGTTAGCTTTAATATATTCCCTATTCATTTTTGCAATAGAGAATTGAATATGTAAGGAAAAGAACATACATTGTTTTAATTAGAAACTAACTTTAAGACAATTAACCTTAAACATATTTACTTTGTCAAGTTTAGTAATAATTGAAATGTTTCATGTAATCATATATTACTTACATACCTAAAAATGTTACATGGCTCTTACAATTCACCATAACATTTACCTAATAAACTTTTATCTCAGCAGTAGGCTTTATTAATTTGAATAATAATTTTTATTACATTATTGTTACTGATGAATTATCAGCAAAATTCATATAGTACTACTGCTTGTATTTTATTTTCCTACTTAAAACCAATATTTAAAAAATGTTTTACTGAGATATAAATTCACATTCCACACTATTCACTCATTTAACGTATACAAGTCAATGTTTTTAGTATATTCACAAATATATTCAAATATGACCATAGTCAATTTCAGAACATTTTCATCACTTTAAAAAGAAACCTGTACACTTTAGCAATAACTCCTATACTCCTCTATCCCTCCCAGTCCATAGCATTTAGTAATCTACTTTCTCTCTCTTTCTGTGTCTATTCTGGATATTTCACATAAATAGAATCACATAATATGTACTCTTTTGTGACTTGCTTCTTTCACTAGATTTAATGTTTTTAATGTTCATCCATATTGTAACATATATCAATACTTCATTATTCTCTTGTGTTTCCATAATATTCCCTTGTACGCATAGATCAGAATTTATTTACCCATTCCTTAACTAATGGGCATGTGTCCTCCAGATTCCCAGGAACGTGTCAGAGCCATTCAAAACTCTTATGAATATCTCATTCCACAGCTTTTCCTTTTAAGCCATTTAGTTAATATATTGTTTGACCTAAACTAGAATCCATCCTCTCAGGCCAACTAGAGTTTAAACAATTGCCTGTAATAGTTTTTGATAACACCATGTCCTCCCCACTGCTCCCTCTTCTCCCCCAGGAAGAAGATGGTTCACACTGAAAGCAATCCCAGTCATCTCTTTACAGGGGTCTATTAAGGAACCATCAGACAGGTCAAAAGATGACAATTATTTGGGAACAGAGCTTTGAAAGTGCTCCAGCTCCATTAGGCTTCTTTTGGAAGTTGCCAGGCTGCTACTGAGCTGGGAGAGTGGGGATGGAACTAAGGCAAATTAAAATGCCACAAAGTTTCCTGTTTGTAGTTGAGTTTTTGTTTGTTTGTTTATTTGTCTGTTTTTAATAAACTCTCCCCAGATTGTTGCAAGTCCTTGGATCATTTCCAGTTTCAGAGAGGAATGTAAGTGTTCCTCAACGTTCACAAAGTCTCAATAAAATGCTTTATCGTTTTCATGTAAAATACTTTTATTTGATCTTCAATCATTTTATAAGAAATCCATGTCTTAGAAACTTGTAACTTCGAGTCATCAATTAATTGCCTTAAATATTACATCAACACTTAGAAGACTAGATTCTATACCCAATGCTATGAAAATGTTGACTCTGACTATTTTTGCCTGTTTTTATTGCTTTTATGGAGGAGTACATTTTCAAATTCCTACATTCTACAACATGGAAAACTTTGAAAATATAATGCTAAATGAATGAAGCCAGACACAAAAGTCACGTATTGCATGACTCCATGTATATGAAATATCTAGACTAGGTAAAACCACATAGACAGAATATAGGTTAGTGGTTGCTCAGGGCTAGGAGAGATGGTGGAATGGAAGAATGATAGGTAATGGGTACAGGGTCTATATTTGAAGTTATAAAAATGTTCAAAATTGATTTTGGTGATTGTCACACAAATTTTTCAGTATTGTAATAACCGCTGAATTAACTGAGAGAATTGTATGGTATGTAAATTATGTCTCACTGAAGTTATTACAAGAAATAATGGGTGATTTCAATACTTCACTTTCAATAATAGATAGAAAATCAGCAAGGATATGGATTAATTGAATGTCATTATTATCCAACATATATATAAAGAACATAGATCAAGTTAGGATATACGGCTACTTTGAAATAAAGCCAAAACACCTGTTATTGGTATACAAGTATAATATTAAGTCCTTTATAGTTAAAACATTTCTGAGTATTGCTTGAATTAAAGCATTAGATGTTAGAAGTAGAGAATCTAAGTATAATTTAAACATTTTGTGATTGTGATTTAAAAATTATTTTCTAAAATGTGTGAAATAATCCTTCTGTCTAAAACAACAAATTTCCAAAATTCATTCCTTATACAAACAAATGCCTTTAGGAATGGAGACTTAAGAAACAATCTTTTTTTTTCATTTGCTCTAAGATTAAATATGATAACCAGCAATAATGTATAATATATCTAAAAATTGTTACAGAAAACTCAATTCACCTAAATAAAAGAATCACAAATAAGTTATAGGAACATATTAATATAGATATTTATATTAAAACCTTCACATTTTAAACTAGTATTTGAAAATAGGAATTGAGGCAATTGTCAGTTAACAATGTAATTTATAATGATAAATTCAAACTTTTATACATGGGCAAATGGGCAAGCTATATGCATTTATATAGCCTGCATTTAAAATCTAAGGTATAATGCAAAAAATATATAAAAATGATAGATGTCAAAAGGAATGCTAGTAAAATATTTGTCTTTTTTATTTGGAGTTGTCTTCCTGATAAAGGTTGTTCCTTAATATGAATTTATTAAAGAAATCTAGGTATTAAACTAATTATATTAGTTAGTAGTGCCTAGAAAATTTTTTTAACTCATAGATATGTCTAACACAAATATGAACCAAACAAAACATGTAAAAGGAAATACATACTTTTATAATATAGTCTATTATAATTTATTTCCTTTTACCTTTATTGTCTGTCTGCTTATCTGAAATCGTTGATCAGATACTTGCTGCTGGTGAAGGAGCTTTTCATTGACTTCTTTATATTCTTTAATAGACAATTCTGCTGTTTTTTTGGCATTCTGAAGTACACTGTTTTGTTGCTGCAAGGATATAATTCTTTCTCGTAATAAAATAACATTGCTACTTGATTTCTGGGCAGATATACTTTTTAATTTTTCTCTGTAAACTGAGAAAATATAACTGTTATATAAATAATGTTGTTCATAATATTTTTAAATCACATTAAATCACAAAGACACTATTAATGACATATGCATTCTTACCTCTGGTAGGACCTGTTGTATGTGAACTCTTTTGAATATTACCATTCTTCTTTTGAAAAGTTGGCCTTTTGGCATTCTTGTAATGAAAATAATCCTAAATTTGAAGGTTTCATAAAAATTAGATTGTTACTCAAAAATATCAAGTGAGCTAACATGATAAATAATATTTCTTTACTTGAAAATATATTTGTTTATGCAGTTAAAAGCCTAGACAATAAAATTCTATAATTGATACCAGAACTCATAAATGAACATAATGTGTACACTAAAACTGCCCTAGAGGGCAGAAGATACAAATACAAAAGTCAACCACAAAGTAGTACTAGTAATTTAACCTAAGGACCATTTGTAAACCTAGGGGGAAATACAGTAAAAGCAACAAAAATAAAATATTTAATAACTTATTCTCTGGGAATCTAGGTTCCTTTTCTCAAATACTGTTTTCTGACTGATGAACTCCTTCTGGCAAATGAAGCTAAAATAATGTTGATGATCATAAAGCAAGTTTTCTTGAAGCTGCATGTTTTCCTCATGACATTTCAATACACTAAAGTTAAATAAAATAAAGCTATGTTGACTTTTGTTCCAAAATATCTCATCAGTTTAAAAAAGCTTCCCCAAAGCAAAATTTTAAATAGACTGTTTCAAATATTATAAATCCTAATAATAAAATATGTGGTCTTGTTTAAGACTTTATTGGCTGGGGAAAGGAGAAATATTAATCTAGACCAGAGGTCGGCAAACTCATTAGTCAACAGAGCCGAATATCAACAGTACAATGATTGAAATTTCGTTTGAGAGCCAAATTTTTTAAACTTAAACTATATAGGTAGGTACATTATTATTAACTTAATTAGGGTACTCCTAAGGCTTAGGAAGAGCCACACTCAAGGGACCAAAGAGCTGCATGTGGCTCGCCAGCCGCAGTTTGCCAACCACGGATCTAGACTAATCTAAACTACTTCTTTAAAAAAAATTATTTTTCAAAGATCTCAACTCAGAAACAAATAAATAATTATAGTAAAAATTAAAAGAAAAAGTAAATTTGGCCCAATGTTACTTTGACAATGAGCCCTATATTGATGAATACATAAATTATATTATATTATATTATATTATATTATATTATATTATATTATATACAAGGAATGGTTCTAAAGTAATAAAACTGATTTGTTAACACAAATACCAAAAACCCCTATCTAAGCATTACTTTCCTTTGAAGTAATCATTTTCCTTTAAACTATATGTCATTTCTCAAAATATTTTTGAAATGTCTTATTTGAACTTGTCCTCATCAACAGTGTATAAAATGTATTTTTTAAAAGTTTCAGTGCTTTACTAAGATTCAATTAATACTTAAGTGCTATTATTGAGCACTATAAAAGATCCAAAACATTATTACCAAATTTAAATATTAGTCACTAGACTTATTATTAAATTAACTAGAACTAAAATAAAAAAGGACTTCAGAAAAAATTTCATACTTTGAAACAAACACAGTTGAAGTATCTTTGTAATATGGTAAATAATAAGAGAAATTCTAAGGCCAAAAATGAAGTAAAGCAGGAATCAAGAAACAACAAAATACAGAACAACTGATAATCCCTTGTGACCTTGAAATTCTATTTAAATAGCAACACAGACAGGAAAAAAAAAGCCTAAGTCCAAACTCAAACTGATAAATTTGAGGTAACAAAGCTAAGACATTGTGTAACAACAATTTGTACTTTCTAGTGCTGAGCAGTATTCACGGAATGGATGTATCACAGTTTAACAATTCAGCTAATGAAGAAAGTTTTAGTTGTTGCCAGTTTTTGCCTTTTACAAATAAAACTGTTATGACCATTCATGTATAGGTTGTTTTTTTTTTGTAAACATAAACTTTCATTTTTGTGGAATAAGTCTCAAGTGTGAGATGGCTGGTTTGTATGATAAGTATATGATTACTTTTTTGAAGAAACTGCCCACTATTTCTCAGAGTGCTGTACCACTTTATAGTCACACAGAAATGTATGAGAGATCCAGTTTCACTACATCCTTGCAAGTATTTGGTATATTCACTATTTTTTATTTTAACTATTCTAGTAAATGTGTATCCTCACCTGAGAACATGCTTTATTGATTTTATTTTTAAAAAATCTTTATTGTTGAAAGTATTACAGATGTCACCCATTTTTTCCCATGAACCCCTTCTAGCCCGCACCCACTTAGCATAATATTCTCCAGGTCCCTCCATGCTGTCTCAAAGGGTAAGAGATACTTCTTTTTTACTGCTGCATAGTATTCTATGGTGTAAATGTACCACAGCTTTTTTTATCACTCATGTACTGATGGGTACTTGTTTTATTGGTTTTAAAGAGAGGAAAAGAGAGAGAGAGAGAGAGATATGAGAGGGAAACATTGAGACTGGTTTCCTCCAGTACCAGCCATGTCCTGAGAGCCAACCTGTAACCTAGGTATATGACCTGACCAGGAACCAAACCCACAACTTTTTGGTGGATGGGACAATGCTCCAACCAACTAAACCACACAGCGAGGATCCATCAGGGTCTTAATCTGCATTCCCCTAATTGTTAATAATGGTGAACATCTTTATATATACACATACATATATATATATACATATATACATATAATATATGTATGTGTATAATATATATATATATATATATTGCACACATACATACAAGTACATATGCATACATATATATATGCTTGTCATCCATTTATATTTTTTGGTGAAATGTCTGTTCTTATTGTTTGCCCATTTTCTAACTGGATTATTTTATTTTCTAATACTGATGACATTAGAATTAAGATGTTCTCTTCCTTGACTCATAGAGACCAAGCAGACAGGTCTGGTGGGAAGGGGAATTGTTGGGGTGGGGGGAGAGGTATTGAGCATAAAAGAAAAAAAAGAGAGAGCGAACTCACAGACATGGACAACAGTGTGGTGATTGTGGGGGGTGGGGAAGGTGGAAGAGGGCATAGAGGGAATAAATGGCGATGAATTAAATTAAATTAAATTTAGGAAAATGTTCTGTTCCTCAAAAACTACAGCAAGACATCTTCAATATGTATAACCAACCAAAGGCTCCAAAATAGCATATATAAGAACTTCTACAAATAAATAAGAAAAAAACAGACACCTCATTTTTAAAATGGGCAGAGAATTGAAGAGGCAATTAATTTACTAAAAAAAAACCCTTATGGTCAATAATCATGAGAAAGTACTTAACATCTCATCAGTAATTACGGAAACATAAACCCACAATGATATACCTTAACGTACATACAAAAGTGCGTAAGATGAGAAATACCAACATACCAAGTGTTGATGAGGAACAGTAAAATTTTTCAGAATCTGCTAGTAGATAAAACAAATTGGTGCAACACTTGGAAAATAGCATTATCAATTAAAATCTTAGAAAAACATAACCTATGGTGTAGTAATTTCACGCCTAGTATTTCATTACAGAAATGCCCACACTTATGCAATAGAATACATGTACAAGAATATTCATTGCAATATTATTTGCAAGAAACCCAAACTGAAGCAACCCAAACTTCAGCAGAATGGATAAAATGAAGTATAGTCAGACAATGAAGTATAATATACAACAATAAAAGTGAATGAACTCCACCCAATATTGAACAAAAGAAGCCAGACATAAAAGAAGATATACTATACAGAATCTATAAAATTCAAAAATAGATAAAATTAACCATAACATAACGATAAAATAAAGTAGTTGGGGATTAAATTAAAATTAAAATAATGGTTATCTTTGGGGTTACAGAGAAGTTCTAATATTTTCAAATCACAATTGCTACAATTTGGTCAACATTTGTTTTCTGACTACAAACAATGTATATAAATTTATTCAGAGTAGTTCATACTATATTATTATTATATGAATTGACTATGAGTTACTTTTATTTACAAACTCATTGTGCTATACATAAATGACTGCAACTAAACAAAATTCCCACCTGAATAATATGTGGCAAAATAGATTTTATAGAGATTTCTATAAAATTTATCTATTTACCAATCAATCAATGAATCAGCAGACACAGCATATAATGCTTCATCTGAACTTTATTCTGGTGGTAAACTAAAAGAAACTTTTGTTATCCTTGAACTTTTTCTTCCAAAGTTCTTATGAGACCTCAAAAAATAAACACTTTTGGATCTAATTTTAAAAGAACCATATAGGTTCATTAAAAGATGATATTTTTACAGCAAAATTATTTTTCCTCTTTTTCACTGATTTATGCTGAACACATAAACCTTTTGGTGACATGATGTATCCATAGTAAGAACTAATAAGTTGTTTGAAATACTAATTTTTTGGAACATTAATATTTTAAGATTTAAAACACTTTGGAAAATTAGGTAAATTCTAGAAATTCATATATTTAGTTCAACTAAATAACTTTATCATCACAAAGGCTAATAAAATACATAATTTTCTACATGTGGTATATACCTGAAAATAAATACCACTTTTAATTTTGGGCTGAGACATAAATACCTTAAGATTTATATTTAGGAGGATAATACCTATTTCCAGTTTATCTATACAAAAAATAATAACAAATTGGAGTTGAAATTATTAAGAAGTGTGTATCTGCACTGCATATTTCCAAGACAAGTTCATTTTTAAGGATTCACATTAAATCAGTGGCAACAAAATTTGATTTAAGTAATGAAGCATAAAATAAAATTAAAAACATAGCTTATAATTAAGAAAAAAGTGTATATACCTTCGGGATCTTGCCATCTGTATTTGAATATGTTTGTACTATTCTTTTTCCTTGCATGTGGCTGTCTTCTATTTGATCACTTTCTTTCTGGTCTCTTCCATCTTCTATAGGACTTATTTTCTGGGATGTTTCTACAATAATTGTTCCTAAATTTTGAGAGGTCTGTATTTCAGAATCACTGCTTTTGGGGAATAATAGGGAACATAAAATCAAGAAGAGTTGTTAAATGCACCTCTTTTAAGTTCAAGACCAAATAATATTATAGCACAAACTGCATTTAACCTGAAAGTTTAATTTGAGGACTTACTGGTTTTCAGCGGTAAGAAAGAAAATTAGTCTAAATATATTTTAGAAAATTATAAAATCTCATCAAGAAATTCAATTATCGCCCTAGCCAGCTTGGCTCAGTGGATAGAGCGTCGGCCTGCGGACTGAAGGGTCCCGGGTTCGATTCCGGCCAAGGGCACATGCCTGGGTTGCGGGCTCAATCCCCAGTGGGGGTGTGCAGGAGGCAGCTGATCAATGATTCTCTCTCATCATTGATGTTTCTACCTCTCTCTCCTTCTCCCTTCCTCTCTGAAACCAATAAAGAAATATATTTAAAAAAAAATTCAATTATCTATGATCAAATACAAACTAGCATCATTTCTATAGTATTTCTATTAAGTATTTCTCAGGCAGCAGCAATTTGACCACTTCCAGAATTGGTGTACTCACTGCTTTCTGAGCCAGGGCAGAAAGTTTTAACATTCCTAACAATGTTTCCCCTTACTCTAGAACAAAATGTGAATCCCTGAGGCTTTCTCCCATTTATCCCAGTTTCATTTCTTAGGGCCATTCATCATTCAATAAAATATTTGTTAAGCATCAACTATGTGCCAGGTACTTTTCTGGGCATTAGTAAGTGAATAAAGTAGATAAATATCCTACTCTCATCCTAGTGGGATGGGGGGCGGGGGGCAGGCAGGTAACAAATAAAAATAAGTAAAATATATAGTATGTTAATAGAGTGTGTTAAAGAGAAAACATAAAGTAAGGAAAGAAGATTTAGAAGTGCTGAGGTTGAGCAGAACATACAAGTAAATCCAATCCCTTTCCCACATGGATAATCTTGTAACTATCTAAACACAGTTATATGATGCTTGAGACATCTCTAGCTTTTTCATATTTTTCCAATATGAATGCTACTGAGATTCTTTCTCACCCTGGTCACTCTTGAATGTGCTCCAACTTATGTGCAGAATTAATTTCATAATCGAAGTGTACTATGAGAAGTACTTAGTAAACTCCTGGTGGGTGCAGACTAAAATTGTGTAAGCTTCTCTGGCATGTATATTGTACTGTAGACACATACAGGATTTAACAAAGCCTCATAAAATATTTTTATGTACACTGTTGCCAACTCCCATATTTTTCCCAATGTATAGTTGAGCAAATAGCATTTTATAGCTAAGTAAAGTACCCTGTAGTCTTGTGTATAATTGTATCTTCCTAGTCTATTGAGATATTGGAGATTTTGATTCACTTTTATAAAATAGTTTTCAACCCTTTCAATATCATAATATCCACAAATTAGATTAATATATTTGCTAAACTTGTTTTTCTTATTTAAGGTATTAACAACTCCTGATTATCACCCATTACTGAATGGACATTGATAAAGGTAATTTGTACATTGGGACCCACAAAATGCAGGATGCCCCAGTGGCAGGGCCCATGTCAGAAATCTAAACCTAAGTCAGCCACACTTATGGGCAATGCCTCCAAGGGAAAACAGAGTTTTCCATCCCAAAATATGCCTTTTGGAATATTGATTATTTTAAGCCGGTCATTTTCAAGAAAGAAAAAAAATCAGGAAAAAAGTTAGAACTTCCCTCTTTCTGCCTGAAAGAATGTACATAGAGAACCTCCTCCAGTAAGGAAAATATGATCATAGATAACTGTAGTTTAATATGAATTAGTGTGTGATACACAGGGAAGAACCCAGCAAGGCCTGTTTGATTAAAGCCCTCACTGTGTCCCACTGTTAAAGATGACCCAGCAAACATTTATTTACCAAACATTTGCTTTTCAATCTCCATGTGAACTACCTTTCTTCCCTTTGAAGTCCCAAACTACAACACCCATATTCATATGGACCCCAGTAAGTACATATGTAACATATTTAGACATTTTCTCCTGTTAATTTGTCTCATGTCAATCTGATTACTAGTATAGCTGGAAGAATTTAGAATGGTAAAGGAAAATTCATTTTTCCACCCCACACTTCACTGTCAAGGAAATCTAACCTACCCCAATTACAATCCTTCAACTCAGCTTTAACTTACCTTGGAAAATAAGATGTGCTAGCATTATTAGGAAATACTCAACCTCCTAGCCAATCATTCCCTGTTCCTTCCTTGCCTCTTCTAATGCTCTATAAAACTCTCTCTTGTCAAAATTCCCTCAGGAATAGTGCTCCACTGATTGTTTGCTCAGTAACCCACTAATTCATGGGTGTTGTCCCCTAAATAAAGGACTTTAAACTCATTACTAAATTGTATTATTTTTGTCATTACAGCATACACTTATAATACTAAGCAACTATAGGAAATAAATACTAATAAGGTACTAATTATATAATATATTTATATATAAAGGATAAAGTTCTATTTTTCTAAGTATCCAAGTAAATTTCTTATATTCCAGATTATGAAAAGCTAAAATAAATAGAATGTTCTGAAGTCCTTAGGCTCCACTGTGGGATTTCTAATTGTTGAAGAATTCTTTGCAGCTGAATGATTCCTAAGGATTTTCTGTCAGGCAAGAAATGGAACACTAATCCTCACAGTATAAAATTGAGTTTCACTGCTCAATAACTTAAATGACAACACTATGTTTTAAGAGACAGTGTGTGATATATCTCCCCAAATGTGATCTTCTGCACATGCATTAATATGATAAAATTAGAATTGAGTGTATTATGTAACTTTCATAGACGTATTCATACATACATACTCACACATGAGTAAAGTGGACTGCAATATTATGAAGAGTGTGGTAGTACCAACTGGATGAGATATAATTCGTAGCTGAAACTAGAATTTCCTTGAAGCCATAAATAAAGTGTTTAGTGGGTTTTAAGCTAAATAGTATTTTATCTCTAAATGCTTTTTGAGAACAGGGGGGAAAACCTTAGAAGAGGTCACAAAGAATAGAAATGCAGATTTGGTCCTTCTTCCGTACTTTCATAGCCTGCCTGATGACAAAGGGCTTGACCCAATGATCATTTAAAAGAGTGGTTTCAAAACTTCTCTGCATATTGGAATCGGCTGCCATGGTCGGCAAACTGCGGCTCGCGAGCCACATGCGGCTCTTTGGCTCCTTGAGTGTGGCTCTTCCAAAGCCTCAGGAGTACCCTAATTAAGTTAATAACAATGTTCCTACCTATATAGTTTAAGTTTAAAAAATTTGGCTCTCAAAAGAAATTTCAATCATTGTACTGTTGATATTTGGCTCTGTTGACTAATGAGTTTGCCGACCACTGGGCTAGAGAGTTTCAAAAATACTGAAGCTTGTATCCCATTCCAAAAGTTAAGAATGAATTGTACTGGGGTGTGATATGAGCTTTTGGAATTATTATGAGATCCCCAAGTGATTCTAATATGCACACAAGTTTGAGAACTACATTTTAAGATAAGTTTCAGTTCTATGTCTATGCTTAAGAAAACTACCTAGAGACATCCTGAGGGGACCAAAGTTTTGTCATCCCTAAATGTGACATTTGTGATATTGATTTTAAGCTGGTTATTAAGAAACAAGATTCAGAAAGAACCTGTGATCCTCCATCGTTATGCCTAAAGGAATTCAGATAGAAAAACCTGCTTCAGGAAGAGAATCTTAGCATATTTACTTTAGCATATTCACCTTAGAACATATGAATTAGCACATATGTGACAGACAGGAAGAAATCTAGCAAAGTCTGTTTCCTTCTGTGTCCCACTATTTCTGGATGGCCCAGCAAGAATTTGTTGACCATATGTTTGTTCTTTCTCCTACCTGTTAATCACCTACTTCCTTTGGAATCACAGACCCCTGCGCCACTTCTCCTTTGTCCAAAATAGCACATAAGCTTCACTTGTTCAATGCCTTTTAGGTCTCATATCTTATTATATGCCCCGCATGTACAACCATAGTAATAAATCTTGAATATTTTCTCCTTTTAATCTGTCTATATTAATTTGATTGTTAGCCCAGATAGAAGAACTTAGAAGGTAGAAATAAAGTTATATTTTTGTACCCCCCTCCTCCCCCAAGCCTAAATCTAAAACATACCAGTATTCAGGATTTTAAAAAAATACTTAGGAAAATAAAAGGAAATATATGCCATTATAAAACAAGACAAAATTGATACCATTGTAATTAGCTAGTTATTAATAACAAGAAAGGAGCAAAGGGAAGGCCAGATATTACAAGCATGTCATTCAGACAGTTTCATCAGAAAGCTACAACTTTACATTCTGCAGAGGTCCAACAAAGGGATGATTGACACATGCCCAGTAAAGCTGGGATGACCAGGGAAGGTGCCTCTGTCAGTCACACTTGGGACTTGTATGACTTTGGCCTTATGGGGCTCTTTTGTTCCTGCTTCCCTCCATTCACCCACGGCCATATGGACCCCATACATAATGGACCAACGGATTGCAACTGGTCTGATGCTAAACTGGAAAGGAAACTCTGGATGCTGGCTTTGATTTTAGCTTTACTGAAACCCCAGCTATACTTCTTCTATGACTGGACAAAGGAAGGGAAATGGGACTTTAGAAGCTCATGGAATTAATTAATTAAAAATCACTCGTTCTCCCATATGAGTTTCAGAAAATTCTTTTTCTCTGGATATCATAAGAACTTCACCCCCAGCAACACCCAGTGGGGAAGAGGACCCCACTTCATCTGGAATCAGAATTATGGAAAATTGTTTAATTTGTCTATTAACAATTCTGACAACATTAACTTCTATGTAAGTCTCAAAGAGGTGTCTATTATCCATTTATCTTTGTGGTTACTGATGTGCTTCAAGTGCACATATGAATGTATAGCCAAAGATAAGGGAAAATATTATAGATTTTTAGTATTCTCCTGTTGCTACTCACTAGGAGTTGTATAATTTAAGACTAGGAATCTGCAGAGCTATAACTTTAAAGAACTAAATTTTAACCATCATTCAATTAAAGTTAGTACAATGACTTTGCATAATACATACATGAAATAATTAGTGAAGATGGTTCTTAATTTAAAGGATGTTAAACAGCTTGTAGACATCTGGTAACAAGCTGAAATGGGTCATTCAAAATTTATCTAACTAAATTAAGGGGGAAAATGTTTCTCCTCCCAGGTTGGCATGTCACAAGATAACTAAACCGACTTAGTAGGCTTGCCTGGGAATCCTTAGCTGTCAGTGTGAATATGCAAAGGGCCAGCAAATTAAATCAACCTGCCAAACTGTCAATTTCAAGCCTCATGACTGCATGAAAATAGCATCACTGGAAGAAATCAAGCATTGCCTTCTTTTGGGTTTCCTGGCACCTATTCAAATACTCATGCAGTTGTGGCTAATTTTGCATGCAAATTTTAGTCAATAAGCTCAGAACAAGACCTCCCAAGATATTTCAAAGGATCTGACAGTATTTTTTCTGAATACCAAATCGACAGTAGTTTAAATTCAATCTCCATTTGCTGGTGCTTTACATATGCACAGTGTCCCCACCACAGAGCTAAGTTAATGAGAGTCTTACCTGCTTTCACTCACATCCTCCCAGTCCTTGTCCTTGCTGAGGTTCTCAAACACATTGCTCATAACCTTGATGGAGTGATTGAGAACAGTGTGGTAACGACCCACAGAGCACTTTTTCTTGGCGGCTTTAAATTTCACCTTGGTAGTGGTTGTTTTACAATCATATTGCCCAGATCTTACTTCTGTGGTGTCCATCTCAGATTTAGCTTTGTCTACTGAGTGCTGCAATTTCTCCATTGAATTAATCGGCTCTTCATTTTTATTTTTTAACACATTAGTTTCTGCCACTTGTCTCCTTAGGGAAGTGACTTCTCTCTCGAGCTCACTGATTTTTACTTGAAGTTCAGCTTTGTTTTTTACTACATCTTTACTCCCTTTTTGTAGTTGTTCTAGCTCTTTTTCTCTGGTCTCTGCCTCTTCTTGCTGCTGTTTTAAGAGGGATTTCAGGAAATCATTTTCTTTTATTAATTCTTTATTCCCTTCTTTTAATTTTCTCGACCTTTTCTCAAAAGATTTTAGCCGATTTTCCAACTCAATGACCTAAACAGAAGAGTTTAATTTATTCGTTTCAAAGTCAAAACCCATAATCTATTGTATTTTATTACCATGTCTTAGGTAAGTAAATAAAATTACATTAAGCACAAGGACAATATAAATCCAAACTACTTAATTTCTCAGGTACATTCTAAAATGTAATACAATCTAAAATGTAATAATACAAAGGACAGATGGTAAAAGAAGTTACAATTTTACACAAAGTGACACAAAAATGTGTGCTAATAAACTTAGCTGAGTTTTCTGAGATCCTAAGGGCTTTAGCAATATAATCTACTCATTGTGAATAAAATTTTTTTCAGAACAAAACAATTTATACAAAACAGGCACATAGAGAAACTTTATTAATAAAATAACATTCTTCAATATTTAACAATCATATGAAAAACTGATGGCCTATTTATAAAATAATTATGAAGGATGCTTATTGCTAAATTATAAAAATATGATTTTCATAGTCTAAGGTTCTTAGTTTACACATAAAAGAACATTTTACCAAAAAAAGCCTGACAACTTTAAAGTACAATTATTTAAAGGTTGCATATGAATCAAATTTTTTCATTTACTTCAATAGACAATGTTCATTGAAGGACACAAAAAATGACAACATCCTGACATTAAAAAATTTCAAAAACTATTTGGAAAGACACTTGCATAAATAAACCTAATAAAGGATAGGATCTAAGTGCCATAAGTCTGAGTAAAAAGAAAGAGGAATTAATTCTAAGCAATGAGTTCCAATGAGGAGTTGATTTCAATTTAAATCTTGAAAAATAATCACTATTGTTTGGAAAGTAAATTTTATCATTAAAAAAGACCTCTTCTGATTATCTCACCATTTGAGATAAAGAGAACCAACAATTATCTTCCAAGAAGAGGAAATGGAGGCTCTGAAAAGTGAAGTACCACATAAAGGTAAATATTTCCTAGTTTAATCTGGGTTTCAAATTCAGGATTTTTGCCCCTCTCACTGTTATACAAACCATATAGGGAAGAAGAGTTACAGATATATGGGGTGGGTCAACTATACAGTTTATAGTTGTATGTGAAACAGAGTTTATTCTTATATTATTATTAACTATAGTATTATTTTCCATGCTTTTGTCCCACCCTATATATGGAAAATGGACAAAAAACTGGAGTAAGGGACCCTACTGGTGTACAAATTTGTGCATTGGGCCACTAGTTATTGTATGACCATATACCACAATTTTTGGCAGACAGTAAGTTTTATAATTTATCACATCATCATCATTGTCATCTCAATTATTCATTCTTACAGTTATTTTAGAAAATTACTTGAGCTGAAATAAAATTATTTATACCAAATATTGCTGAATTAGGCATTAAATCAACTTTATACTTTTGATTAAAATATAATGTAACAAATAAACATCTTAAATTTGAGGTTGCAATTCTGAAGATTAGCATGATTTTTTTCTTTTAACTAAAATCCATTTAAGTGTGAGTACAATTCATAAAAATATTATATACTGATGGAAAAATGTCTGTCAAAGTCTATTATGTTTAAAGTGTGTTGACTCTCTAATATGAATCAATGTCTAATCACAAGAACTGGCCAAATTTATTTGCATTTACGTTTAAAATGGAGGCCAAATAACAAAACACAAGAAACTACTTCCAAAGACTTTGAAGGGGAAAGTCCATAGCATGCTTATGTTATTCAAGGTATACTCTCAAAAATTGTTCTTCAACTTATTTTAAGACTTCCAAAAATGGAAAAGGAAAATTTCAATAATTTTTGAGAATGGAAGTCTGAGGAATTGTTAAAGGCATTTGGTTTGTGTGCTATAAATCAACCAACTCCATACTTTTCCTCCAATACTGAATTTTTTTTTAAATTTACCAAAAAGATGGCTCCTTTCAAAACAAATAAAACACATCACTTTGTAATGTGTATATATTATATACTTACTAGGAGTGTCATGACAAAGTACTACAGACTGGGTAGTTTAAATTCTAATAACCTTCTTTTGACTTAACTCATTGAAGACCCCCATCTCCAAATTCAGTCATATTCTGAAATACTAGGAATTAGGACTTTGACATAAAGATGTAGGGGGTAGGGAGGGTAGAGAGACAATTCATTCCATAACAGTGTGTGATGTTAATATATTATTTTAAAATAATCTAGTTATAGTTTCATTTCTATTGTGCACAAATATTGTTTTCATGTTGTTACAATCTTTTAAATCCATTTTGAGTAAGTTTCATATGGATTGTGGGGCATTAAAAAATAATTTTCCTCCCACTTTCTAAGTGCTTCTAGCTGGGCTAATAATCAAACTAACAGACACATATCAACAGGAGAAAATAAAATTTTAATACGTGTGCATGCGGAATTCATATGTGTGAAAATTACGAAGATTGTGGTAAAATGAGGTATATGTGTCATTTTGGACAAAGGAGAAAGGGGAGGAGCTTGATATTTCAAAGGAGAAATAGGCAAACTCATAGGTAGCTGAGATAGTGACAAAAAATTATTGATAGGCACTCAGAAAAAATGGGACAGAGTGAAATTTAGTGAACAGATATTTGCATGGTTCCCTCCTGACTATCATAATTCATATGTGCTAAAGTGAATATGCTCAGGTGATTATTCTAGGGATCCCTTTCTGAAGCAGTTTTTTTCTATCTGAATCTCTAAAAAGAAAAGAGGGAGTTAAAAGAAAAACAAAACAAACAAACAAAAACACTCTTCCTGAGTTTGTTGGGCTTTAATTGATTTCAGTTTGAAATAATTTGAGACCACCCACAAAGTACATCCTTTTAAAATAAGGTAACTCAACTAAAAGGGGATAAATCATGACTTAGACAATTGCATTAGGTTAATATAGAAAAAAGTGACAAATTTGTATGTTAATTTGACATATGGTCCAATGAAAATAATTCCTTTTGGCATTTTAGTACTTAAATAGATTTCTGAATCCACAACATTAGTAGTTATTTATAACGGTTGGAATGAAATTATGGATTTCTTTAGGGTTTCTACCCCAAAGCAGTAAATAGTAGCATAATATTATATATCCATAGAGATAAAAATTATACAAAACCTGGAAAACAAAAAATATTGTTTTGAAAGAAAGAAGGTAAGCTAGGATAAAGTGTATAGCATTCTAACTGGTAGTGTATACATTATTTCAATTATTCATTTTACCTTAAGTTAAATAAATGTGAGCACTTCCTGTTCTTTATTATTATGTTAACCTGGTAAGTCATTCAGTAATAGTGAAATTACAGCCTTTGTTACCTGATCGTATGGCAAGTATTAGAAGTACAATATAATAAATCCATCATCTGCTGTAAATCACTAGGTTTCCTACAAGTCAATTCACAGATGTAAGAAATGTAGGTAGCCACATTAATATTTTTGTTGATATGTCAGTTTTACCTAAGTATTATGTAGCCAAGTGACAGTTAGAAGAATAAACCTATTTAAAGATTTTCTTTGTAACAATAAAACTGCTAAAATGCAACCAATCCCACTTAACTTAACTTGATAAAAATGTATTTATACACAAACATATAAATTAAGTGTAAAACTGTAAAGATAAATGTTAAGATGTTTAAATAAGATTTTACTATTAATGATAGGTACTATGTAAAGTAACTAGAGGGTTTATTTACACAGATGGTTCTATTAAAATAGGAATAACTATACTAAATGATATGGATATAAATTTTCATCCAAAATGAGCTGAGTCATTATATTTCCAAGTTTATAAATATATTATCATTTTACTGTGCTGAAGCTAAGTGTCTCATATTTTTAGTACAAATATTGTAAGTCTCTATGCTTGCTGAAGTGAATAACAGAGTCTCATAGTCCCATTTTAAAGTAAAACTGCTTAGTTATAACTAATAAACACATAGTGAAAATTTTTATAATTTCTATTGTTGTCATTCTCATTTCACCTTCACAAATATTTTTAATCTATGTCAACAGAAGCATAAGTGTTTCCACATTTATTTCACTAACATTGATTTTTTTTACCCCATTTTGGCAAGTCAATAATTTTGAATTATGAATTTAAATTAAGGATTCACACAAGGTTTAAGTTCATGCACCCACATTTTAAAATATAATCCTTTATGTTAAAATTCAGATTTAACTTGCTCAGTTCAATATCTTAAAGATTAGACTACCTTCTGTAATGTCTGCTCCGACATTTCTTTCCCATTCTTCTCTGGAGTACTCTTCTTGACCCCATCATCTTCACCATGTCTAAAGAGTTGTTCTGGTAGAGAATAAATAATACATTATGGCACCGTATTCACTACTAAAACACTGTCCTGTAATTTTAAGGAAAAGAGTTCTACAGTTTTTCAATTAGGAATAGTCTAGTTTATTGTCAAGTATATGGCCAATAAATAAATGCTGATCTTAAGATTTTTAGTAACATAATTATGTATCTTTCTAGTGTCAATTTTTTTTTTTGCAGTATAAGATTTTCAAAGGTACAACAGATCTGCAGGTTAACAATGCTGTACTTTTATTCCGATTTTCATTCTATTGTAGACTATTCCCCCTTTGCCTTAAAAGCGGAATTCATGGTCTTTTTATCTACACAAGTCACTACTGTTTTGTTCTCTGGCTCTTGTTCCCTGCCAGGAGGATCAGAGTGATTGCTGAACAAAGCAAACAGTAACAGAATTAGGGTGTACTAAAACTGTAACATACTCTATTACCCCCTTTTTTCCAAGTAAAAGATCATGCATTGGGCAGAGTAAATTATAAATATCACATTTACAGAAAAACTATGACTTTGTAACAAATAAAAATCCAGGTAATGGATTAAGTTATTTCTAGAAATCATTCCTATACTCACCATGCATTTGACTGTGAAACCTTTTCAATCAACAGAAATACATAAGTAACATGGTAACTTTAATAAAAATCATTAAACTTCAGTTAATATTATTAAAATTGAAATGCATTAAAACCTATAAATAAATTTTTGTTATCTGATAAATGACTATAACAAATTTAACTAACATTTTCTTACTGAACTATTTTTGGGATGAAATATTTCACAAAGAATAAAAAAGGGGACAGAAAAAGAATACATAAACCTAAAAGGATATACATATCTGTGTTAGACTGAAATGATTTTGCTTTAAAGTCTGCATGGCTGCTGCAGGTCAGTGTAAAACTTTGATTTATCAACAAAGGAAAAAGAAAACAATATTATTCTCTATAGAGTAGAAATCCTCTTGGTATAAACAGTGACTAACAAGTTTGTTAGAGTGAATTAGGCATTTCTTTTGTCTTTGAAACATGACATATCCAATTAAAACTTCTGTACTTATGAAATAAATAGAACACTATCCTAAGGAAAATAAAAGCTAGAATAGGTAGAATTTTCCATCTGGGGAATATGTACCTTTACCTTGATAATAATCTATTAGTTCCCAAGTTTCTTTTTCTAGTCCCCTAACACCATGGTGCTGAATTCATTTACAACACTCTTTCAGGATTATAAAAATAATATGCAAATACTATTCATCTGTTCTAGTCATTTAAATATCTGCTAGAGTTCTAAATGTGATATTTACTCTCAAGAATATAAAGAAAATAGTTCTATACTCAAAGAACATAGAGTACTAACAATGATTAAATAACTCCATTAAAATCAAGGCTGACGATTTGACTTAAAAATAAATTTGGTTGCTCCTATGTGCTCCTGGGTATGAGCAAGCCCACTGGTGGGTCTGGCTGACCATGTTCACTTATTGTTGTCTGCTAAAAAGTTTATTTCTCGCATTCATAAGTTTTATAAATAATACTCAAGTAGCTAAGCACAAGTCATGGAGAAAAGCAAGAAACCAACACTTTGCCCCTTGATTCTTTTTCCTGTCAAGGATCTCATGATTTGGAAAATGAACAAAGAGGAGTAGTTAGAAATATATACTTCAATTCTTTCTCCTACAGTGGAAATCACCTTACTGGAGACTTATTTTTAAAATTTCATTCTATATGTTTTCCTTTTATTATCTACACTAATAAAAGAGAAACATGGTAATTAGCATATGACCGCTACCCTTCCCATTGGCTAATCAGCATATCCTTATGCAAATTAACTGTCAGCCAAGATGGCAGCCGGCAGCCAGGCAGCTGGAAGCGAACATGAGGCTTGCTTGCTTCAGTGACTGCAGACTCCAACGTTCCCCGCCTGACTTGCCGGCCTCTGAGCTGGCAGCTTGAAACATTCTAACAAATATAGAAGCTAAACAAAAGGCCAGGATCTCAGAGCTGGAGTTATACATTGTTTCGATTATAGAACGCTCAGCAGCAGAAGCCTCAGAGCTAGAGCCAGAGCTAAAGCTGGCCCAGAATAAAATAAAAAAAAGAGAAAAAAAAGGAGCGCTTGGGAGCTTCAGTCAACAACCACCAGCCTGAAAGCAGCCCTCAGCCCCTCACCCAGACTGGCCAGGCACCCCAGTGGGGACCCCCACCCTGAAGGGTGTGTGACCAGCTGCAAACAGCCATCATCCCCTCATCCAGGCTGGCCAGGCACCCCAGTAGGGACCCCCACCCTGATCCAGGACACACTTCAGGGCAAACCAGCCGGCCCCCAGGCCTCTATCCTGTATAGTAAAAGGGTAATATGCCTCCCAGCACCGGGATCAGCGGAGCTGCGAGGCTCCTGGCACCGAATCAGCGTGACAGGGGGCAGCGCCCAAACCCCCTGATCGCCCTGCGGCTCTGTGTGTGACAGGGGGCGGGGCCACAACCTCCCTATCTGCCCTGTTCTGTTCCTGACAGGGGAAGGCGCCCCAACCCCCTGATCAGCCCTGCTCTGTGCCTGATAGGGGGGAGCTCCCCAATCCCTTGATCGCCCTTGCAGCTCTGTGTGTGACAGGATGCGGCGTCCAAACCCCCTTAATCGCCCCTGCTCTGTGTGTTGAAGGGGGCGGCACCCCAACCCTCCCCCCGGCATAGGCCCGCTCTGTGTGTGACGGGGTAGAGCCATAACCTCCCCATTGGCCCTGCCCTGAGTGTGACAGTGGCGGCACCCCAACCCCCTGATCGGCCCTGCTCTGTGGGTGATAGAGGGGGGCACCCCAACCCCCTGATCCGCCCTGCTCTGTGGTGTGACAGGGGGCGGTGCCCCTAACTCCCCATCGGCCCTTCTCTGTGCGTGACAGGGGGGAGCTCCCCAACCCCTTGATGGGCCCTGCTCTGTGCATGACAGGGGGCAGCGCCCAACCCCCTGATTGCCCTGCTCTGTGAGTGACAGGGTACAGAGCCCAGCCCCCCTGATGGTCCCTGCTCTGTGCGTGACCAGGGCAGTGCCCCAACCCCCTGATTGCCCTGCTCTTTGTGTGACAGGGGGTGGTGCCGCAACCTCCCCATCGATCCTGCCTTGAGTGTGACCGGGGGGCGGGGGCCCAACCCTCCAATCGGCCTCTACCCTGAGCGTGACTTGAGGGTGGCATCACAACCTCTCAATCTGCCCTGCTACTGTGCATGACAGGGGGCGGCGCCTCAACTCTCCAATAAGCCCTGTTCTTGAGCTCGACCAGGGGCTGCACTTATGCATTGTGGCCCTGGCCTTCTTGCCACCCAGGAGCAGGCCTAAGCCAGCTGTCGTTTATCTTCCTG